CCTTGACCAGAAAATGCTAAGGGAAAGAGCTCTGGCTCTGAGTTCAAGCTTTAGTACCAGCACAGAAAGAAAGAAGAATGGCACTGCTTGGCAGAGTTCCCACGTGACAAAGGCTGAAAGTGAGCAGTCCTCACGAACAGCACTGCAGTGCAGGCAGGAAGGGTGTCTGTAGGTGGGGAGACAATGCTGTTGAAGCTGGCAAGGGCTTAGGCTATGGAGTGCTTTGTGCTTAACCAAGGTATCTAAATGACGAGCCTCCTTCTTCTGCATTCCTGGAGCAATTATTCTTGCACGTTCATTTTGACAATACTTAAAAAAGAAATTCTGAAAGCATTTTATAGGCTCTTAACAATGAAGCTCTTAGGCTTCTTTTGTTTTTACTCCCCCCCACCCTATTACTACAGATTGAACCCAGGGTCTTATATTATTTAGGCTAACACTCCAGCATTTGAGATATACCTCCAACTTCGGTTTTGTTATTTCTTTGTTTGAGATGGTATCTTGCTAACACTACCTGGGCTAACTTCAAACTATTCATTTCCTTGCCTCTTGTCATCTGAGTAGCTGGGATTATGGATGTGTGCCACCATGTCTGGTTCATTTGCTTTTTTTCTTTCCATTTGTGAGTGATTTTTTTTATTAGTTTACATTAGTTATAGAGGGGGAAATTATAATTTTACAGTTCCACATGAATCCTCACTCTCCCTGCCTTTCATGCTCATTTCTTAAAGTAATTTCGAGGGATTTTATTATTCTGTTTTCATAATCTTTTGCTCCTTTCTGGGCTCTTCCCTTGGAGCACGGTCTGTAGAACTGGAGAGGGCATGGCACAAAGAGTTAAAGTATGGATACAAGGTATGAGTTTCCTATCTGCCCATCTCACTGTCGCCACTGTCTAATTTGAGTGACTTCAAACAAGTTATGTCACTTCTATATCTCACTTTCTCCCTTTCAAAATGAAGATAGTGATAATTCCCATATCATAGAGTTCTATGACAATCCAATAACTGCTTAGCAAATGTTTGCTGTCTTTATTCTATTTTTTTATGGTGGTAGAAACTGAATATATTCATAATTACATAAGCATTAACTGGCCACTTACTATCAAGAGGGGCTTGTGTTAGGTTTCTGTTATATGTACCTACCTAGTCTGGTGTTCTGTGATCTAGTAATTTATTTTTTGTTTTTTTTTTTAACTTGTACGGCATTTACATATACCAGGTTTTGTACCATGCACTCTACTTAATCCAATTAGTCCTCACAATATAATACAGTTTCTATTATTACCATCTTTTTACAGGTGAGGAAAGTATGACACAGAAACTTTCAAGGGAATTACCCAGCAGTACAGTCATCTGCTTACAAACTGCAGATGAGCCCGGACATGAACTTGAATACTCTTACTCCAGACTAAAGTATCTATAGCCTAGGTTATCTCATAACAGAACCCCAAACTAATGGGACCATATATCTTCCACAAAGCTCACTGGACACAGATGTCATTTTCTGTCATGTACCTCTGTTCATTGCCAGTCAATTCCCCTGAGTTAGTTGATGGAGTGTTTCAACTTGATTGAAAAGGAGAAACCATTTTTCTATTCTCAGCAAAACTAACTGAAATGAAGGTGGGCTCCCACTTTCACAGATTTTGAGAAAGGAGCCTATAAGGAAACAGTACTAGTATCTTGTTGCCCATTCATTATTTGTTGAGCTGTACACTTACACTTACCCTAATACTTTGGGGTGGAATGAAGTAAGAATTCTTAAGAGAGTGTGATGCATGTATGACCATTAGTTGTATGACTTGGGGAGAACTCTTGACCTACATTTCCTCATTCATAGTGTAGAGAGAAGAATATTGCTCTCACAGGTTTATTCATACATAGAACATATGTGTCAATATCAAGGTTGGCACCTGTTCTTTTCTAGTAACTACTTTTATTATTGCTATTCTTAATAAGGAATATTTTTTACTAAATACCATTAAAATAATGCCTTCAAGCCATATTATTACCCAATCTATATTGTACTGATCCCCCTTTTCCCTGATTTCAATGTGTATTACATGACTGGTTGAATGGCAAAAGCTACCACATCCAATGCTTGTGTAGTTCCTGTAGTCATCCTGTTGTGCAGCCATTGTGCTGTGTTCCACAGGCAGAGATAGGGGAAGGAGGAAGGCTCTAGAAAAGAGCAACTTTAGAAGAATGCCTTCGACAGGCGCTCTGGGCATGGTGCAGTCAAATTTGTACTGGCTTAAAACTTGCAGTTACCAGTGCTTCAGAATCATGAGATTCCAAAATAAAGCAATCACTCTCCCACTGCTGGTGAAATATGCACACAAAGAGAAACATTCTTGAAGTTCAGGTAGGTGTGAGGATTTCTCGCTTGATGAAAGGAAGCAAGGACTAGTTCCAAGGACTAGAATCAGCAGCAACAGAGAAAAGGAGTTTAGGTAGACTTAATGGCAATCATCTATAAAGACAACTTGCATCTGTTGGCCTCTGGTAGAAACATCAGTATGGCTGAGCAGTGGTCTTAGGTCGCAAGTTCTTGCTAAGACAGTATAGAGCAGAAAAGGCGAAGTCAGAGTGAGAGGCCCTGAGTTCAAGCCCCAATACCACCACAAACTACTTTCTCTCCAAACCAAAACAAAGCAAAACAAAATCTTTACTACCTGTGATGCAATGGATGCTTAGATCTTTATATTCATGATAGCGTAAAACTTGAAAATCTAGTTGTCAATGTATCCTAACTTAAAGAAACTGCTTCAAATTCAGTTTTGGAAAAGAATGTCTCATCTCTAATGAACGATGAGTGACAATTGGATCTAAGACACTGTGCCTTCAAATACAAAGGAATATCTGAAGTATATTAAATACCTGATAGGTAGCTTGGAAATAAATCTCCCCGGAAGTCATAGGTTGTAATAAAAAATACATTATCTTCATTAGAAAATTAAAGGTTATGTGTGAAGGTGTCTGGTCAAGTGAGAACCTCAACTAAAGTTAAACAAACAACCACACAACAAAGCAATTTGTGATTATACTGGAGAGGCAACCAGAAGCTTCTGGAAGAAGCCATGTGGTATATTTTGAGCTGACCTTGGACCTACATCAGCTATGTAGTGAGTCAAGGCTTTTTAACCTGGAATCACCTGACTACATGAGGAGGCTCTGCCTTGCAATGTCCCTCAGCTTGCAGAATCACACCCCCCCAATCCCATCTATCCTTACAACTAAGTAATGTTTATTTGTGGAGCATGCCACCAGTGAGTTGTAGATTGTGACAACAGATAGCAGTACAAGAGGGCCAGAGGAGCAGAAGCTCCAATCCAACAAGACTGAGAAAGCTAGACAACTCTCAGCCTCTGCACCTCAAGTGTGTTTAAGGAGAGTGTTATCTCAGGGATTTTCCACTGTCCAAACAAACAAAACAGAAATGAGAAAACTCACTGCCTTTATCCTTGTCGAGACAAAATTAAAGGGGTCATATTCTAGATATTCAGGACTGCCTGCCTGGTGGAGATTAGGTCTGGAGAGACAGGGCCAAAGCTGATGTCATGGGCATGTACCATCATGGTTCCCATCTTCCCTAGGCTGACTGCCACATCAACCTCACACCGTCGGCATAGCGACCCAGGCAGCTGAACCAGCATTTACGCTGGGTTGGAAGGGAAAACACAAGCAATGTTTTGATTTTACAAGTAGAGGCTGCATCAGGGCAAGGATTAAATGGGGACATCACCAAACCAGTGTTGGTTCAACTAGTCTATTCAGTTAATAGCAATTATCCAGCACCAATCATATATAAAGTACTGCGAAACGCAGTAGTTGTATACTCTCACTGAATTTTTTTCCTTGAGGAAAATGAGAAGTAGAAAGAATAAAAAGTGACATACAAGAATAACCATAAGGCAAAATTTCCAGTTTTGTAGAGGAAGAACAACAAAGAATTATGCTGGATTCAGTATCAAGAAGGAATGTTTTAATTAGGGGACCTTGGAAGGTTTCAGAGTAGCTACTCACTTGGAGGTGATTCTGAGAGGTAGAGACCTAGAGAAGAAAGAGAAGGCACCCTAAGCAGAGGAGGGAGAAGAAGAACCTAGGACAGCCTATGTCCTTTAACCACAGCTTCTAAATCACGGGGGAACCCAGTGCATGCATTTTATATCTCCTACCTGTCATTTTCCACATTATGTGTTACCTAGTAGATTGGGAGGTGGAACCTAGCTCACATAGTCCCTTCCCCCCAAATCAAACCATCAAATACGAGGTTAACGATTGATGCTTTCATATTTCATCTAATGATGGGCTAAAGCTATTTTTTTTTTGCAGATGAGCTCTGGATTTATTGACTTAGTGTATCTTAATGACACTTAAAATACTGCAAGAGTCACTGGGATCTGACTCTGTGCCCAGAGCCTATAAAATTCTCTCTGTGTCTTGTCTGCCAGAGCAGGCTCCATGTGTCAGGAAGAAGGCAAGGGAATGCAGGACAAGTCCTACTGGCTTGGCAAGGGTCCCACCTAATTCCTTATGACGTGTCTAGTGCAGGTGACATGCTTGCTAAGGTGTGGATAGGCGGCTAATTTCATGGAGAGTAGGAGGTGTGGGTTCACCTCTTTTTTTTCACAGTGGAACATTATCTGAATGATATTCATTCTCTCATTGAGTGTGTGCTTCACACAACAGGCAGTGACTGGATACCACTGTAAACTAAGCACAAACTACTGCAAGACGTTGATCTGGGTCCTGGTTTTCGAGGAAGAGCTGGTTGAGAATTGCTCCTTGCTCAAGGATTAACTGAAAGAAAGAAAAAAACCCAGCGAGAAAAGAAGAACTAGAAGCGTGGGTTTCCTACCCCAGGCTCTCCCCAAAAGCTATGCCGTGAGAAGTCTCTTGACCCATTGACCACACAGCAAACCGGACTAGGCATCAATTCTTCTGAAGAGTGGAGAACGACAAGAGAGGAATTTGCCCGTCTAGGATTTTTAAAGGATGGCTTCTCAGTGTCATCAGCTTCGGATCCTGGTGTGGAAAAATTGGCTAGGTGTCAAAAGGCAGCCGGTGAGTTTAAAAAGAAAAGGTGGAGGTGGGTGTGGGGAACAGGGAGATACTCCAGGAAACCTGAAATGGGATGTTAATGAGAGATAAAAAGAGTTGAGAGGTATTTTTTTAAAGCAGGAAAAAGATATTTAGAATTCATCCCTCCATCTGCCTTTTACCTAATGGGGCAAGTCCTAACATGGGCCCAAAGCAGCTTTTTGATTTCAGTAAATTACAAGAAGTAAATCAGGATGTGCCTTGGGCAAAACCAAGAACAGGATATACCTTGTTACTGGTTGACTTGGAAGCGGGGCCTGGGGCAGGGGGGGGGGGGGTGCGTGTGGGGGGGGAGTGTTGAATTCTGGGTTCTGGCCAAAATGCTTTCAGAATTTTCTTAGTGAATTTATTTTTTTTAAAAAAAGTGGGATGAATGGAAGGAAAATACAACCCCAGATCTTCTGGAATGGGAGGAAAGGTTCCCAGAAAACCAAAAACAATTGAAAAGTAAGATAGAGACACAATTGGGAGGTTGTTAGTATTGAAAGCTTCTAAAAAATTGTTGTATCTAAAAATCCATGTACTGTCAAACGTGTGTGTGTTTAAAAAAAGAATATTATTGAATCACTTTACTATTCCAGTCTGCCTTCTCCTTGCAACATCTTTTCTGTGCTCTTACATTAATGCTCACTCTAAAAATTAGACGGAGTCCAGGAGGATGGAAGGAGGGATTATTCTATGAAGTACCATGTATTCAGAATGTTTTAAAATCAGGAAAAAAAGCCCAACATTCAAAGTACTTCATTTTAGAGTAATAATTTCTAGCCTTGACTGAGTGATATAAATATTCAAATAGTATGCGTCATAGAAAGAAACATTTTATCTGGGCACTGTATCACACTCTGGGCTTGCTTGCTATACTTGAACCCTTGCTAAATATTCTGATTTATAAACTAAAAGGGAATTAGATAGGCACATATGTTTGTGAATTCCACAGTCAGGGTTTTAAATTATAAAGCGTCTAACCTCGATGTGTTAGACAAAAAAATTATAAATTAACATTGCAATAATATATCATGTGTTTTCTTTTTACTGTAATTAAAGCATAAAAGGAAAATTCCCATAGTTCTCATGTAGTTAGTTCAGTGTGGCTGGTGCTCCTCAGGAAAAGAGCTGTAGGCCTGTGGAGATGCTGAGAACATGTGCCTCATGAGGCTCCACCCATGACTTAAGTAGCTAGTGACACATTCTCTACATTCTGGTTTTCCCACTTGTAAAATGGGCACAAGGCCCACCATATCTAACTCAGAATGTGGGAAGACTTAAATGTGTTTATAAATTTCAAAATGCTTTTTATAAATGATGAAACGTGTGTGTGTATGTGTGTGTGTGAGAGAGAGAGAAAGAGAGAGAGATTTTAGCTTACTTGGAAAAGAAATACAGTAGAATAGGGTTTGAAAGGAAATTTCATAAATGTTGGAAGGAATGAAAATTCAATTCTTAAGAATCAAAGCACAGAGGAATGAATACTGGCATGTTTGTTATTGTTGATAAACTGAATGCTGAAGTTGTATGCCATCCTTACAACTTCTAAAATTTTTCAGAAAGTAAAATTACAAATGCTTAAGTTATTTACATTGAGAAGTTTTATCCTTTGATTTTTTTTTTTCGGTCGTGGGGCTTGAACTCTGGACCTGGGTGTTGTCCCTGCACTCTTCAGCTCAAGGCGAGCACTCTACCGCTTGAGCCACAGCACCATTTCAAATTTTCTAGTGGTTTATTGGAGATAAGAGTCTCACAGAGTTTCCTGCCCGGGCTGGCTTTGAACCGTGATCCTCAGACCTCAGCCTCCTGAGTAGCTATGATTACAGGTGTGAGCCACTGGTACCTTAGAAATTTTTATAAATTCCTTCCTGATGTCTAAACTGTGGGAATATATTGCTACTTCAGGATTCATTTTAGCCGGTTTCTGCTAGATTTGGTATATTTAGAGGAGATGCAGGTCAGATATGCTAAATATGTTTTCACACTGATACCATGATCATTTCCCACGATCACACACTCCTTACAACTGATACGTTCGTTATTCTCATGTATCACAGATCGTCAAAATGTCTCTGGTAATTACACTTATTCTAGGAAAGTATTGCATTTTACATATCCTGAAAAGAGCTAGTAAGAGAGTTATTAGTTATTTTGAGATACATTTTTATCTTAACTGTAACTCAAGAAAATGGGTTCCAGAGAAGATGCATCTTAGTTATGGAAGTGAGGTCAGAAAAAAATCTGAACTTGAGGAAAGATAGAAAGCCTACTTGAATCCATTGTAACTAGCCAGAAGGACAAGAGAAAACTATAAAAGTTGATCACAGCAAATAAAGAAGGAAGGGAAATTGCACCTAGTAAAGAAGAGGGCACAGATATACTTCTTTTGTCAACATTTTGCCCAGGGCTAACTCTATTTCTTAGCATTGGAAAGAAGACTCAGACATATAGGTAGAAAGATGTATTGTAACCTTGCTCATGTAACTGTAACCCCTCTGTACAGTATTTTTACAATAAAAAACTTAAGAAAGATGTATTGTAGAATTATACTTATGAGAAAAGATAAAGGAGAGAAGTTAAAAAGTTGAGATAAAATATATCAAGAGAGATAAGATAAAGAAAGCTTTAAAAGAAAAAATAGACAAATTAGAAGACAGAATGTAGAAAAAAAAGCATATAAATTTGAGACAAAGACATACTCTTTATGTAGACACTAGAGGTAATCATCAATGAAACACAGATTTAAGGTGACAAGTATTTTTGTCTGTATTTTAATTTTTATTCTGAAAATTGTATCTTACAATAGAATTTATTCCCAGAAAATTGAAATCGTGTGATACTACAAATAAGTTGTCTTCATTAAATGCCAAGGTATAGCATTACCACCAAGAAAACCTTCCCTAATTTTAAAAAACAGATTACATCATAAAGCAAGGTGCAAGGAAGGACAGTCTATATGGAAAGAGTTAGGAATCTATTACTGGCAAAGCAAATGACATAAATGAAAGAAAAAGAATGATACAATATAATGTTAAGGTATATTGTGGATTGGTAAGGAAATATGCCAGAATATAAAGTGATAAAAATTACAAACTCCTATATAGCATCAGAAATAGAATGAAATAGGATAAACTGGATGTTGAATTTGGTTGCCAATTTTGCGATTAACTTTCAAAATTTTACTTGAAGTAAATGTCTCTCATGAAATCAAAGATTCAAATCCTGGAATATTTGGCATTATGTAACTGACAATTTTATGGTCCCAAAGAGCTCAGGTCCAAGGTCATACAATGAATTCGAGGATTGAAGTCAGATTTCACCATTCACAATCATGAATCTATTTCTTGAATTGCCTATTTCTTTGTTGTGGGTCAAGTTTCTTTTTGTAATACTCTCTGATCTCTGCTCAGAGTTCAGCCCACCAAAGAAGAAATCATCTCTTTAAGGAAGATTTAGATAGTTTGCTTTTTTTTTCATTGTGAAAATACTGTACAGAGGGGTTACAATTACATGGGCAAGATAATGAGTACATTTCTTTTCAAGCATTGTAGCCTCCTCCTTTTTTTCCCCTTCCTATCCCTTCCCATCCTCCCCCAACTCCCCCAAATCGCCAAAGTTGTAAAGTTTGTTTTCAACTTGTACATCTCATTGTTGCAATGGATCCACCTGTATCCCTATTTAAACGATTTGTTTTTCCCCTTCCCCTCCATAAATTACACTGACATCAAATACAGTGAAAGCAGGGGTTATACTGTGAGGGAGGGACATACAAAGCAACAAAGAAATCATCTTATAAATGTGTTAGAACAATCACATGAAAGAAAAAAAACATTTGAATACATATCTTAGGGTTCATTTCCCTAACATCACCTTATCTGACCTTTTCTGCTTGACTCAGACATATACTAGATATTGCAAATAAGCAAAACCATGGGACCTATGTTTCTTTGGGCCTGGCTTACTTCACTTATTATAATTTTTTCTAAGCCTTTCCATTTCCTAACAAATGGGACAATGTCATTCTTTCTGATGGAGGCATTTTCTTAGATATTTTGCTTTTTTAATATTTGTGATAACATTAGTCTTCACTTATGTTGGAAAAAAATGAATACTAAAGGGAGTAAATGCATTAAGCACTAAGAGAAATAATAGAGAAAACTGAATTAGATGCAGTTGTTATCCTGCTGGGCATAAAATTTAACTCTAAAAATAATAGAAAATTAAAGATACATTCCAGCAGAGAATCAAGGAAAGCTTAACTAATGAAATACTCAGGACAGCAAAGAGCTGCTGGATAATACAAAACAAGAGATTTTTTTTTCGCTCCTGTTAAGAAGATAGGTCCAGCCGGGCATGAGTGTCTTAGGCCTGTAAGCCTTACTCAGGGGGCTGAGATCTGAGGATCGCAGTTCAAAGCTAGCCTAAGCAGGAAAGTCCATGAAACTCTTATATCCAACAAACTACTCAGAAAAAGCTGGAAGTAGCACTATGGCTCAGATGGTTGAGTGCTAGCCTGGAGCAAAATGTAGTTCAGGGACAGCACCTTGTCAATGTTAGATTCGGAATTCTAAACTTCTGACCCAAAGAAGAAAAATTCATGCCAGTTGTTGATTTCTATAACTAATTCTGAGCTAGGGACCCATATTTAGCTCACTGGATTACAGAGCTAGCTCTCATGAGCATGCCAATAACTTGACAAACTGACCCTTCTACAATCCATGTCTTGTTTCTATACAATTTCTTTTCATGGTGACTAGAGAAAGGGAGAAAGCCTTAAAGCAGGTTGGATTATGCATTAAGTTAATTTTTAGATTAGAAAAATTCAGGATTCAACCATAACCCCAAATTTAATTATAAATAAGATTTAAATAAATTAGGTTCTGTATACTTCCTCCAGTCCTTTATCTCTTTTGGATCAGAACCAATTAATTAGTCTCTAATTCCCCTCAATGACAAAAATCTTAGATTTGTGGTATCTG